TTTTTTGGGGGGGGGGGGTGTGAGGGGGATCTGGGAAGTCATAAAATTTTACTTTTTATCATCTGTGAAATCTACACATCACGGCAGGTACACACCATACAACTTGTATCCTGGTCAAGAATTAGGATACTGAAGTGGCCTTAGACTTCCCATGTGACCCTTCCTGATCACAGTCTTTACTCGTCATAGAAGTAATCACTGTTCTGACTCTACATGGTATCATGTTCTTGCTTTGTTTTATAGTTTTCCTATCTATGTATTCATTCCTAGGCAATACTATGTAATTGTACCTGTTTTTGAAATGGACATAAATGGGATTTTATTATATATTTTCCCTGTTTTCTTTTCAACGTGGTACAGTTTGCTATCTCCCCTCTAATCCCACAAGTATTTTTCCCGTGGTCCTGTGCCAAATTTAGACTATGTCTGCTTCTTAGTATTTATGTTTGCTTCATGTCTGTATACTCAGTGTCTAGCAGATATTCAGTAGTTGATGAGTAGAATAAGGGGAGGTGTCTAGAATAACTCCTAGGTTTTTACTGGGGATAACTGGGTAGATGTGGTACGCTTCAGGAAAATGGCACACAGGAGAAAGGGTAGATTTGGGAAGACAGAAGATGAGTTAATGGGGACATTTGGAGTTTTGTTTCTATGGGACACCGAAGTGGAGGAGCCCAACAGGCAGCTGGATATGGAGGTGTGGAGTTTGGAGTGGTCTGGGTTGGGATGATGTAGATGTGGGAGCTGTCAGCACTGAAGCCATGATTATGGCAAAGGTTGCTCAGAAAAGGGCCTAGAATGAGTAGGAGGCTTGAGGGTGGTGAGCAACACTTACTTATAAGCAGTGAGTGGAGGCAGAGGAGCCCAGCCCAGCCCAGGAAGAAAAAATTGAGAAAAGGGCTGCCAGAGGGACTGAAGGAGAACCTCGAAGGACAAATGGCAAGGATGCCAAGGAGGAGTGATTCAAAGAGGAGGCATGGGCAACAGCATCAAATAAGCACACAGCAATGCAGTGATGGGCAGACATTAGTGGTGACAGATATTAAGCAAACCCAAATATAAAATGTAATATGCGCCATGAAGAAAGAAAGAATAGAAGGCCACTAAGTTAGATTAGGAGTCAAGTGAGTTTTGTCTGAAAAATGCCATTATGATCAAAAAGAGGAGTAAGAGTTAGCCAAGAGGAGACAGCAAGCTGGGGAAATACCTTCCAGACAGAGGAAATATGTGGTGTGACCCTGGAGCAGAAGAGTGCTTTTGATGATCATTTGATAGACAGGATACTCTTAGGGGAGAAGTATTATGTCTGCAACTTACTTTCAGATGGCTTAGCAATAAATAGTGTGAATGTGAGTGTAATTTGCATATATGTATGTGTGTGTGTATGAATCACTAAAATGAACAATTGCTTTTTGTACATACAAGGGTGATAAGGTTCTTACCTGCACGGCAGTGGCTTCGTACAAAGGATGTGTTCAACAAAGCATTTCTGTTCTGTAGCAAGTTCCTGTAAACTGTCTTTATCTTCTTCATCTACAAAGGAACATATCATATAAATTAACTGATGTGTAGACAAGTCTCAAAATTAAAATGCTAAAGATATTAGTTACATGCAATGAAGTTCTTGTCTCAGAACACTGCTTCACAAGGACTGTGCCTTTCTGGCATAGAAATACCTTTCCCCAGGGGTATAGATTTCTGCACCAAGAAGGAAAGTAGGCTTTTCATTGGTAAAGTTTCTAAATATGAAAATGTTTCACTGAAAACAGAACCAGAAATTGTTTCCTTCCATGTTCTTCCTTACCCACACAGATTTCATTTTTATACAGGGTGACTATGCCCTTACCTAATATGCTTGGGACAGAAGTGTTTTGGATTTCAGATTTAAAAAAAAATTTTGGAATATTTCCATTATACTTAGTGGTTGAAATCCCTAATCCAAAAATCCAAAATTCTAAATGCTCCAATGGATATTTCCTTTGAGTATCATGTCAGCACTCAAAAAGTTTTAGAACATACTGGATTTCAAATTTTCAGATCAGGGATACTCAACCTGTAATAGCTTTATGAGACATAATTCACAATACTATGTGTCACCCACTTAAAGTATGCAATTCAATAGATTTTTGGTATATTACAAGATTTGTATAAGCGGCACAACAATTTAGAATATTTTCATTTCCCAAAAAGAAACCCCCATACCCAATTAGTAGTCATTCTCCAGTTTCCACCAACTTTCCCAGACCCAGGCAACCATTAACCTACTTTCTGTCTCTGGATTTGCCTATTCTGGACATTTCATAAATGGAAACATACAATATTAAGTTGTTTGTGATTGGCTTCTTTCACTTAGCATGTTTTCAAGTCTCATCCCTGCTGTGGCATGTATCACTACATCATTCCTTTTTACTGTTGAATAATATTCTATTGTATGGCTATACCACACTTTATCCATTCATTGATGGACACTTGGGCATCTGGCTTTGGGCTATTATGAATAATGCTGCTTATGAACATTCATGTACCAGTATTTTATATAGACATAGGTTTTTATTTCTCTTGGGCATATACTCAGGAGTGGAACTACTAGGTATATGGTAACTCTAATTTGAAGAACTGCCAAACTGTTTTCCAAAGTGGCTGCACCATCTTACATTTCTAAAAGCATTGTATGAGGGTCTTTATATTTCCACATCTTTATATTTCCACATCCTCATCAATACTTGTTATTGTCCATCTTTTTCATTTTAACCATACTGGTGGGTATGAAGTAATATATCAGTGTGGTTTTGTGGTATCTTGTTTCCATAATGACTAATGATATTGAGCATCTTTTCTTTTTTTTTTTTTGGAGTTGGCATCTCACTCTGTCATCCAGGTTGGAGTGCAGTGGCATGCTCACGGTCACTGCGGCCTCAACCTACTGGGCTCAGGCGATCATTCCACCTCAGCCTTCCAAGTAGCTGGAACTACAAGTGTGCACTACCATGCCCGGCTTATTTTTTGACTTATTGTAGAGACAAGGTCTCGTCAAGTTGCCCAGGCTGGTCTCGAACCCCTGGGCTCAGGAGATCCTCTCGCATCGGCCTCCCAAAGTGCTGGGATTACAGGCTTGAGTCACCACGCCTGGCCTTCAGCATCTTTTCATATGCTACTTGTATATCATTGTCTATGCAAAGCCTTTGCTCATCTAAAAAATTGGGCAATTTATCTTTTCTTTTTGAAACAAGCATCTCACTATGTTGTCACTCATGGGCTTAAGAGTCTATAAACCCTTAGGATTATCCCCAAGCCTTTAAATCTACTGAAATTTGGATTTTGAAATGGCTTGGACTTGTGACTCTTTCTTCACTTCCATTTCCTCCTCTGTTGAATTAAAATGCTTATAACTGGTATCCTATGCCTATTCTACCATTGTGTTCTGAGAGCACATAACCTTTTTTCTAGTTTCTTAAGTCCACAGATAGGAAAGAATTTTGCCCCAGAGTGTTTTATACTCAGAATTTCACCCATACTCAATTGAGATGAAGAGATGTAGAACTTTTGAGCTCATGACATTTTTAACTGTGTTGATGTCACAATGGTTTGAGACTTTTGAGAATGTTGGGATAAGGTGAATCTTGCATTTGGCTCAGATGTGAACCTCTGGAGGACGAGGTAAAGTAGAATAATGGACTCTCCAAAGATGTCCATGTCCCAATCCCCAGAACCTGTGAATATGTTAGGTTATATGGCAAAGAGGAATTAAAGTTGCAGATGGAATAGAAGTTGTTCATCAGATGACTTTAAGCTAGGGATATTATCTTGGATTATCTGGGTAGACCCAATGGCATCACAAGTTCTTTTAAAAGTAAAACAAGGAGGAAAAAGGTCAGAGAAATACAATGTGAGAAAGTCTCAATCCCACGGTAGTTGGCTTTAAAAATGGAAAAAAGGGTTACAAGCCAAGGAATGTGACAGAAGCTTAAAAAAAAAAAAAAAAAAGGGTAGGAAATGGGAATCTTCCCCTGAGCCTCCAGAAAGGAAAACTGATTTTCAATTTAAACCCACTGAGACCCACATGGGACTTCTAACCTATAAAACTGTAAGATAATACAGTTGTAATGTTTTGAGCCACTAAGTTTTTGGTTATGTATTACAGCAGCAGTAGAAAGCCAATGTAGAAAGCATTATCTTTTACCATTAAGCATGGTGCTGGCTGTGGGTTTTTCATAGATGCCTTTTATCAGTTTGAGGAAGTTCCTTCCTATTACTAGTGTCCTGAGTGTTTTTAAGATGAAAGGCTGTTGGATTTTCTTAAATGTATTCATATTGTTTCTGTCCTTTATTCTACTGATATAGTACAGTTATTAATTGATTATCAGATGCTAAACTAACCTTGTATTCCTGAGTTAAATCCCATTTGGTCATGTGTATAATCCTTTTTACATGTTCCTAGATTTAGCTTGCTAGTATTCTGTGGAGGATCTGTTGTGCCTATATTCATAAGTTTACTTGGATGTCTTGGTTTGGTTTGGGTATAAGGGTAATACTGACCTCACAGAATGAGCTGGGACATGTTCCCTCTTTTCTATTTTTTGGAAAAGCTTGTTAAGAATTGGTAATGATTCTTTAAATGTGAATCCATCTGGTTCTAGGTTTTTCTTTTTGGGTAGTTTTTTGATTACTAGTCAGTCTCTTGTTATAAATCTATTCAAATTTTCTATTTCTTCTTGAGTCAGTTTTGGTAGTTTATTTCTTTCCAATTCATCTAGACTATCTAGATTAACTAGCTATCATGCATTTGTTCATAGTACTCCTTTATAGTCTTTTTTATTTCTGGAAGGTCAGTAATAATATCCTCTTTCATTCCTGACTGTAGTAATTTGAGTTGTCTTTATTTCTTGATCAGTCTAGCTAAAGGTTTGTCAATTTTGTTGATTTTTTTCCAAGTAACTTTTTGGCTTCACTGACTTTCTCTATTATTTTTCTATTCCAAACTACTTTTTAATAGAGCCTCTGAAATCTACTGAAAAGTACAGAAAGTAAGCCGGGCTCGGTGGCTCAGCCTGCAATCCCAGCACTTTGAGAGGCTGAGGCAAGTGAATTGCCTGAGCCCACGGGTTTGAGACCCACCCGGGCAACTTGACAAGGTCTTGTCTCAACAATAAATAAATAAATAAATTAGCTGGGCATAGTAGCGCGCGCCTGTAGTTCCCACTACTTGGAAGGCTGAGGCAGAAGGATCACCGGAGCCCAGCAGGTCGAGGCTGTGGTGGTCAGGAGCATGCCACTGCCCTCCGGTCTGGGCAACAGAGTGAGACTCCAACTCAAAAAAAAAAAGAAAAAAAGAAAAGTACAGAAAGTTAATAAACTCACCTGATCCAAGAAATTTGTGAAGTTTATGAATCCAAGTTAGTCCAACACTATGTACCCCTGCTTCATGAGTACAGTGATATCTTGAAGGACACTTGGGATCTGCAAATGTAATCGTTAATGATATAAAAGTAGCCATCAGAAAACTAAAAGAATCCACCCTAATAATCTACAAACATATTTGGTGATGGAAGATTTTATAGGACTTTCATATTGTGGCACTGTGATAGGTTTTGCAATTTTGAGATTTGAGTTCAATTTTCAAATCTATTTTAAGTATAGGCATACCTTGGAGATATTGCAAGTTTGGTTCTAGACTATCACAATAAAGTAAGTATTGCCATAAAATGAGTCACACAAATTTTGTGGTCTCCCAGTACATATAAAAGTTATATTAGGCCAGGCACAGTGGCTGACACCTGTAATCCTAGTACTTTGGGAGGCCCAAGAAAGAGGATTGCTTGAGCCCAGGAGTTTGAGACCCACTTAGACAACATAATGATACCTTGTCTCTACAAATAATGAAAAAGTTAGCTGGGTGTGTAATGCAAGCCAATAATACTGGCTACTCAGGAGGCTAAGGTGGGAGGATTGATCCCAGGAGGTCAAGGCTGTGGTGAGCTTTGACTGTGCCACTGTACTTCAGCCTGGGTGGCAGAGATCCCAACTCAAAAAAAAAAAATTATGTTTATACTAGACTGTAGTCTATTTGGTGTACAATAGCATTATGTCTAAAAAAAGTACATAATTTTATTTTATTGCTAAAAAAATGCTGACATGACATGAAATGAGTACATGCTGCTGGAAAACTGGTATTGATAGACTTGTTCAATGCAGAGTTGCCGCAAACCTTGAATTTATAAAAAATGCAATATCCAGCCAGGCACAGTGGTTCACACCTGTAATCCCAGCACTTTGGGAGGCCAAGGCAACAGGACTGCTTGAGGCCAGGAGTTTGAGACAAGCCTGGGCAACACAGTGAGACTTTGTCTCTACAAAAATAAAAAAAATTAGCCAGGCATTGTGGCAGATGCCTGTAGTCCCAACTACTTGGAAAGCTAAAACAGAAGGATCACCCAAGCCCAGAAGGTTGAGGTTGTGGTGAGCTGTGATTGTGCCACTGCCCTCCAGCCTGGGTGACAGAGTGAGACCCTGACTCAAAACAAAAAAGAAAGAAAGAAAGAAAGAAAAAAGACACTATTTGTGAAATGAAATAATGCAAAAGCACAATAAAATGAGGTTTGCCTGTATTTTTAAAAGTATAGTAAACACAGTTGGTTACAGTGGCTCATGCCTGTAATCCAAGCACTTAATGAGGCAGAGGTAAGCAGACTGCCTGAGTCAAGGGGTTTGAGACCAGCCTGGACACTTGGTGAGACCTTGTCTCTACAACAAATAGAAAAATTAGCCAGGCATGGTAGTGCACACCTGTGGTTCCAGCTACTTGGAATGCTGAAGCAGAAGGATCACACGAGCCCTGCAGTCAAGGCTGTGGTGGCAGTGAGCGTGCCACTGCACTCTAGCCTGGGAGTAAGAGACTCCAACTCAAAAAAAACCCCCAAAAACCACAGTAAACACAATCTAAATGTTATTTTCTAAATATTAACACGATGTAGTTCACCGAAACGTAAATATTTGCTGTCAAGCAACTCATTTATGCCTTTTTGTGTACCTCTACGCATTTATTTAAACCGCTTCAAAAATAAATGATTAAAAATGGTAGCTCTGCAGAAAACCTATGCTTACATACATCTACTCTAAACGAAATTTTTGAAGCAAATGCACTGCTACAGCATAGGCATCAAAAACATTTAGCACAACAGCACAGACAATAGTTCTGTCATCGTATAGTAAGGTGTGAAATGGGAAATGATGTTTTATATGCCTTCATAATGTTGACTTACAGATAGTTTTAGTTTATTTTTAATTTTGGATGTTCTTTTTTTTTTTTTTTTTGAGTCAGGGTCTCACTCTGTCATCCAGGCTTGCGTGCAGTGGCATGATCACGATGATTGTGGTTCATGGCAGCCTCACCTTCCTGGGTTCTGGGGATCCTTCCACCTAAGCGTCCTGAGTAACAGGTGTGTGCCAACATGGTTGGCTAATCTTTATATTTTTTATAGAGTTGAGGTTTTGCAGTTGTTGCCCAAGCTGGTTTTGAATTCCTGGACTCAAGTAATCCTCCTGCCTCAACCTCCCAAAATGCTGGTATTATAGGCATGAGCCACTACACCTGGTTGACAATCATCTATACTTATATTAAGTAATGTGAGCAGTTGTTATATGATTTTAGTTAACTTGTTTTGAGACTAAAATTTCCATACTTCCTTTGAGCTCCAGTATCAGTAAGGCGATCCTGAGACTAAAAGATAAGCTCCTAATACTTGTTATTATTTATAAATATTTATCTTTGTAACAAGATAAAAGATTTTGAAGATATTAAGCTAAAAAAAAATATGGAAATAATGTTTATACTAAAGCTGACAAAATGGCAACAGTAACCCATAAAAACCCTATATTAAATTTTCCTTTTTTCTAACAGCCTCACTTTTTTTTTTTTGAGCCAGAGTCTCACTCTGTAGCCCAGGCTAGAGTGCAGTGGCATGCTCATGACCTCTGTAGCCTCTACCTGCTGGGTTCAGGCGATCCTTCCACCTCAACCTTCCAAGTAGCTGTAACTACAAGCGTGTGCCACCATGCCAGGCTAATTTTTCTTGATTTATTGTAGAGATGAGGTCTCACCATGTTGCCTAGGCTGGTCTCCAACCCATGGGCTCAGGCAATCCTCTCACCTCGGCCTCCCAAAGTGCTGGGATTATAGGCATGGGCCACTGTGCCTAGCTAGCCTCACTTTCTTATTGGTGACTTTATAGTAAGTTAAGGTTATAAAGTTGATGTTATATTATTTTTATCTGTTTTACATATTAGGGTTCTGTATAACACCTTTGAAAACAGCATTCTGCTATAAAAAGTTAAAGAACCATAGTCTGCTATAAAAAGTTTAAAAAGCCATCCATCCGTTTGAGCAATAAAATACTGAAAACTTTCTTTTTATTTGCCTATACTTAAGGCTCAAGGCTCAAATCATCTCATTAGGTCTACCATGGTTTAAAAAGGCTTTTCAAAATTTGTAGTGCTAAAGTCAACAGAAAAATCTTAATATTGGAATGTAAAAGAAATGTGTTATGAAAAAGAGTCATTAGCTGGGCATCATGGCTCACACCTATAATCTCCGCAGTTTGGGAGGTGGAGGCGAGAAGATTACCTGAGCCCAAGGTTTGAGACCAGCCTGGGCAACAAGGTGAGACCCTGACTCTACAATAAATTAAAAAATTAGCTGGGCATGGTGGTGCACGCCTGTAGTTCCAGCTACTTGGAAAGTTGAGATGGAAGGATTGCCTGTACCCAGCAGGTCGAGTCTGCGGTGGCCAAGAGCATTCCGCTGCACTCCAACCTGGGCAACAGAATGAGATTCTGACTCAAAAAAAGAAAAAATAAAAAAAAAAGAAAAGGAGACATCATTTAGTTACCGATATAGGACATTTGTTAGACACCACCCTTACGTTATATGGTAGTCATTTCACTTCTGTCACTAAGAAATCTGGGTATGCTTCAGTGATTTTAATATGCATTAAGCACAAATATAAGCAAGTAAAAAATGTATTAGTCTTCACACATGAAAATGTTACTCCCATTAGAAGAATCAAGAAAAATGCCTACACTTAAGATTTCCTGAAGATATATGTATTTATATAAGGAAACCAGTGAGTTTGTCAGTTTATCTCACTAGGTCTGTTTCCTCATCTACAAGTTCTTAGACTTAATAATCTCTCAAAACACTTTAATCAGACATGCCTAAATGAGTTATCTTTGTTGGTTAATTATGTACGGAATACTGCCTCCTTAAATACTTGGGCTAGGCTATATATTATATAGAGTCGAAGCCATTATCACCAAACCAAGGCAAACTGGCTAATGGGTGCTTATAAGCAGATTAGGTCAAACTGCTACAAGATTGAAATCTTTCCCCATTGCTATGAATGACAAGATTTCTTTTTAAGGCTGAACAATATTCCACTGTGTATATACACATTTTCTTTTTCTATTTGCCTGCTGATGATACTTACGTTGATTCTATATCTTGACTATTATAAATAATGCTGCAGTAAATATGGGAATAAAGTTACCTTGACACTGATTTCTTTTCCTTTGGATATATACCCAGTAGTCGGATTGTAGAATCATATGACTGGTCTGTTTTTGATAGGACCAGGAACAATTTGCTATTATAAATCTGGGTGGATCCAGACTGAAGATCACTTTCTTAAAACTTGGGAAATTTGCTCAGTCTGTCTTGGACAGAACTATAGTAACTATAAGGCCAAAATAACCCAGTCACCTTTTAAAAGTCACCTTTTTAAAGACTGGAACAGTCTGTGATAGTATATAATGGGATAAAAGGGCTAAACTTAGTGAATACCTTACCTCTATGAAGTGTGATTGGACAAGAAAAGTCAGAACCAAAGGGATCATCCTCTCCAGATGCCAGTTTCAGAGCAAGCTCCAACTCAACACATTCAAACACATACAGAGAAGGAATGAGGTCGACCCTGGAATCCCAGGATTTTTCTGACTGTAAAAAAAATGTTGTAATTTTTATCTGCCATGTTCATTTGAAAATTAAAAACAGAAGCAAAAAGCTGGGTCAAGTAGTGCTTTCAAACTCTTCTTAATTCCACCTCTATCCAAACAGTACATTGTAATTTTTAAGAGAAAAAAGATTTCTCTCTGTTTTAGGGAGTTGTCTGGAAAAGCCAATTTAGTAATTTCAAGGTTCTTTATATTTGTCCACTGCATTCCAACCTGGGCAACTCAAAAAAAGAAATACATAGGTTAGTGGACCAAGTAAGTTGGGCAATCTTCTAACTTCTTTCCATTTAGGTTGTTAAGTGTGCTTCAATTGCTTTAAAGTGTATAATTTCCAAATATCAGAAGCATAAGCTAAAAATTCCTCATATTTTAAGCATTCATATTTAGCCAGAAATTATACTAGATGTTGAAGATACAAAATATACCCACATTAGCTTGCACTTACTGTTTGGTCATCTTCTTCTTCCCCTTCTAGTACAACACAGTGATACAACATTCCTGACTCAGTAGCGATCACTAAGATGTTAGGGACACAGGGTAAGCAGAGTACAGCACAAGCATCATAACCATAGTTATCTTCAGCTGCAGGATGCATAGGCAATGGACCCAAAAGCTTTCCAATATTTCCAGGGCTAAAAAAGGAGTGAAAGAATATTTGGGAAATGTTGACAGAAGATAACCATGCTCATTCCTTAAAAGCATTCTTTAGCTGTGTCTTCTACCAGCTATTATACTTTCATCATAAATGTTGTATATTCCCAATGTCTCAACTTTTTCACTTTCCTACTCACATTCTACCACTTTGGTGGTTCTCAACCAGAGGTAATTTTGCCCTTGAGAGAACACTGACAACATCTGAAGACATTTTTGGTTGTCATAACTGGGATTGGGGGTACTAACTGGCTTCTAATGAGTAGAGGTCAGAGGTGCTGCTAAACATTCCCCTGTAGGACAGCTCCCCACAAAAAGAATAATTCAGACCAAAATGTCATTAGTGCAAAGGCTGAAAAACCCCGCTCCAAATTTACTGTGGTTTATACTTTCATCCCTCCACTGAAACTACTATGGCAAAGGTCACCCATGAGATTTCCTAAATCCAAAAGGCACTTAACTTGACCTTCTGCTGCATTTATCACTGGTTAATAGTTACGGTTGCTTGGACACCCTTAACACCTGTAACAATTCTTTCTTGTGGTTCTCTTTTCCTAGCTCTCTGAACACACCTTTCTAGTGTCCTTTCTAATTTCTGTCTCTTAAATATTGGTGTCCTCCAGGGTTCTGTAATAAGCCCTAGACTTTCTTCAAAATACACATTTATTTATTTATTTTTTTGAGTTGGAGTCTCAATGTCGCCCAGACTGGAGTGCAGTGGCTGCTCCCGGCCACCGCAGCCTCGACCTGCTGGGCTCTGGCGATCCTTCCGCCTCAGCCTTCCAAGTAGCTGGAACTACAGGCGTGCGCTACCACGCCCAGCTAATTTTTTTGATTTTATTGTAGAGATGAGGTCTCGCCTGCCCAGGCAGGTCTTGAACCCACGGGCTCAGGCAATCCACTCACCTCAGCCTCCCAAAGGCACGGGATTACAGGCTGAGTCACCAAGCCCGGCCAAAATACACATTTAAATGAAAACATATTAATTATGCCTGGTTTTAACTACCACTTATACTCTGATGACTACCAAATCTTGTCTTCTGAAATGCAGCCTCTCTTTGTAGCTTCAGGCCCACATATTTTATTAGATAAACATATTTATTAAGTGCTAGATGATACCCCTAAGTTGGTGAGTCAAACATTTAACCAGAATATGCCATGTGATAAATGTAACATAAGAAGGATTTATAGGGTACAAAGGAACAACAAAAAGATATAAAGATAGTAAAGTGGATAAGAAAGATATCAAAAAGAAATGAGAAAAATAGGGAAAGAATGATTTCTGGGAAGGGGGTAAGGTTGAACATTTCAAGCTAGGGAACAGCTTATGCAAAGTCCTAGAAGCATGAAAGACAAGGAACTAAGAGGAAGGCAAATTATTTATTATGATAGGAGGTGAAGTACAAGGTCTATGGCAACAGAAAAATAGCTAGACAGATATTCAGGACTTAAGAAGCAGTCTTGTATGCTATGTTAAAGTATTCAAAATCTATCTGTTGGTGACAATGATTAAGTCAAGTAACACAGCTTCATGTTACAAAAATCAATCTCATATTAGTGAGGGGGATGACATGGAAGGGTCCAAAATGGGATTCAGGGACACTATTTAAGAATAATATAGGCAGAACATGATAAGTTCTGAAGCAGGGACAAAGAAATGGAGAAAAGGGTGTAGACATTCAAGAAATTTTAATCATAAAACCAATAGAAATTTGAAACTGACAGAATGTTAGAGGATGTAGATGACTTTTGTGTTTTGGGCTAAGGTTACTAGGTAGGTCACAGGGTAGATATACAAGGGTCCAGCGGTAAGGTGGGAACCTATAAGGAAGAGTAATAATGTTATCACAAAATCCTCCTGAGATTGTGTATGAAAGGCAGAGAACACTTCTACCAAGGAAAATGCACTCAATAGTGAATCTTCACCATTTTGCTATCTGCCAAGTCTTTCACCTTTCTAATCTTTATCATTGTGCATACTCTATCATACTCTCTCCTGTAACCTCTCCTGTTTCTGAGTCTGTCTGGTGAATCCTTCAAGTCCAAGCTTTTGTATTACCATTTCCTCAAAGTTCTCCAAGATCAGCAGGCCTAATTATTTGTTCCATCAGACTCCCACAGCACCCTTGATGCCCTGAGGACATCACACTGTACTATGGCTACTGGTTTAGTTTTATGGCCTTTATGGTATACAGGGAACCACATAGCAGGGAACTTGCCTTCAACTATGTATTTCCATCTTCTGGCACACACTGGGCCCTGGATAAATATCTGCTGAGTTGATGTATAAGTAAATAAACTCCAAAGTTAAGCCCCTGGTCTTATGCCACTGCATTTATAAACTTTCCCCAAATTCTTATCCTCTATTGACTCTCTTTTTTTGTTTTTGTTTTTTTGAGTTGGAATCTCACTCTGTTGCCCAGACTGGGGTACAGTGGCCGCTCCTGGTCACCGCAACCTCGACCTGCTGGGCTCCGGAAATCCTTCTGCCTCAGCCTTCCAAGTAGCTGGAACTACAGGCGCGGGCTACCATGCCCAGCTAAATTTTTTTTGATTTATTGTAGAGATAAGGTCTCGCCAAGTTGCCCAGGTGGGTCCCGAACCCGCGGGCTCAGGCAGTCCACTCACTTCAGCCTCCCAAAGGCGCAGGATTACAGGCTGAGCCACTGAGCCCGGCTGACTCTCTTACTGTAACAGATGATTCTCATATCTCTTCTTTTATCCTTCTTCATCAACTCTCATCATCCTATTATTTCCAACTGTCCATGAATTATTTCCACTTTATTGGTCCAATACTGTCACAAACTGATTTATTTAAAAATGATAAAAAATGTCTCCCCAAATTAGCTACTTTTCTTAACCTCAGATTTTTCTGTTGATGGCATACTCCCTTATCCAAATAGTAACTAAGTCTTATTGATTCTTACCTACTATGTTTCATTTCTCCCTTTGCATTACTACCATCCTAGTTCAAACGCCTGTGAAATATAAGCTCAATTTCTGCAGCAGCTTCTTTAAAAGTCTCTCTGCCCCAGTCCCTTTCCTAACCAATTGTTTTGTCCTTTTCCTGCTCAGAAACCATCACTGGCTTCCTAGTACCCTATTTCTACAGAATAGACCCCATATTCCTAAACTAGGTGCTTGATGCTATCACATTTTCCCTAGGCAGATATTTCCAGCTTTATAATATATACATATTTTTTTGAGCTGGAGTCTCACTCTGTCGCCTAGGCTGGAGTGCAATGGCACACTCAAGGCCACCACAGCCTCAACCTTTTGGGTTCAAGTGATCCTTCCGCCTCAGCCTTCCAAATAGCTAGAACTATAGGCACATGCCACCATGCTCAGGTAAATTTTTGATTTATTGTAGAGTCAAGGTCTCGCCATGTTGCCCAGCCTGGTCTCGAACCCGTGGGTTCAGGTAATCCTCTCGCCTCCGCCTCCCAAAGTGCTGGGATTATAGGCATGAGCCACTGCGCTTGGCTCAGCTTTATCATTTAATTCTCCCTATATGAATCTTCTACTCTAGACCAGAATGTCTGATCACCGAACCTTGAATGACACTTGCACTTGCTTGTTTTGATACTCTACTTATGTTGTCATTCTGACTGAATGGTCTTACCTGTCCTTGATGCTTCATTTAATCCTGCATGAGACCTTTAAGTCCCACATGACATCAGCCCTTCTCTATGAAAATTTATTTAACTTCTCCAGTCAGAATGATCTCTCTTTTCTCTGGGTTCTTACTATCTATGCACCAATACTGTGGAGTATGGATAATTATCTTCTCATGTGTATATGTCTTTTTCTCCACAATTGAGACATAAGATATCAGATTACTATGTCTAACAATCTCCATGGAGCCTTGTTCATATAAGATAAACAATAAGTACTTTTACATGATCTATACCAACTCTTTCTCCCACGTAAGCAAGCAAGCACCTAAAGAGTTGCAGCACTTCCAAAACAAAAACATGGGTTCCAAGTCCAATCATGACAATCTCTGCTGGAGCATAAGCTGAATTTTCATTTGTGGTGGGTTACCACCTCAACTTACCTGTGTAACAGACTAACATATGTCAGGAAAGTCTCCCCATTCTCATATAAGATGTACAGTGGGTATGCCACTACTTCATCTTTGCCTTTTTGTCCAAATATATTATTTGAGACTGCTGCCAATGGCCCAAAGTCAAATGCAACTGCTGTCTCTCCTAGAGATGCGGTATACGCCCTTCTGGAAAGAGATTTTAAAAACCAACTTGTTGAAAACAAAATGTCTAATTAACATGAGGTGGGTATGTATTGAATTTGTATTCAGTGGCATGAAAGGACAAAACATTATAATTATGAAAAATGTTACTGTAAAACTCATATAAAATTAAGTGAAAAAAGCAGGCCTTAAAGTTATTTGGTGCTACTTCATTTTAAATAGTTTAAATACAGATACACAAATAGCAAAAATGTATACATGCACACGTGTAAATGCAAGAAAAAAAACCAAGAAAAACATGAGTTGTCTCTGAGGAGCAGAATTCATTGGTTCTACAAATATTTACTAAGCATCTACTCTGTACCACTGTTCTAGGTTCTGAGACTACGCTGGTGAATTAAACAAAGGCCCTGCCCTCTAGAGACAGACATACAACAAAAAGAGAAGAAATAAACAACAAATTCAAAAAATCAAATGAAGAAAAATAACGTAGGACAAGAAGCTACTGAAGGAGCTGCTACTTTAGTTGATGTGGAGGGACTCCGATAAGATATTTGAGAAAAGATCTGAAGGAAGTAAGAAAGCAAGTCTGTAGTTATTTAGAGAAAGAACAGTTAAGGTGGAGGGAAAAACATATGCAAAGTCTCTAAGGTGGAAGATGCCTGATATCTAAGGAATGGCAAGGAGGCCAAGGTAGCTGGAGCCCAGAGTCAGGGATCAGTAAGAAAAATGAAGCTGGAGAGGCAGACCTGGAGGCTCTTGTAGTTAATGACTGGAAAATCAATAAGGTGTTTTGTAAAACAGGGAAGTAAAATGATTTGATTAAACTGAAAGTATCACTTTGACCGCTATACTAGAATAGGCTATCAGAGATTAAAAAAGGTTTTTATTTTCTTCCTAATAATCTATTTTTCCCAATTTTCTACAGTAAATATTCATTACATGTATAATCAGGAAATACAAACTATAAAATCATGCTGTTTTTATATTCTAAAATTTAAAATAATTGGTGAGTCAAAAAGGATCCATTCAATACAAGGTTAAAAAATATGGTTAAAATAAAATTACAATTTCATACAGTTGAGAGTCAACATTTTTCATTGCAAGGTATTGTAAATATCATATCTTAGTTTCATTATCACATAGAAAGGTATATGGTACCAAGAGGTGAAAAAATGAGAAATCCTAAACATGAGAACTACTTGACTTAAACTAAAGAGTCAAGACAATGAATAAGCACAAATACACATAGAAATTAATTTAATGAGAATTAAGTGACTCCTAACACATCAATACTTAATTAGAGCTTAATATAGTAGTATGTCTAATAATGATAGTACGTATCAATGAGTACTTACTCTGTGACAAGCCCCACAGTGAGTATTTCTTAGCGTATGGTCTAATTTATTCTGTACAATCATCTTAAGAAATGAGCACTATCGTTTTTATGTTCATGAAATATATAGACATGGAAATGAAGCTCAGTGCATCTGAAAAACCTGCTCAGATGCCATAACTGGTAAGTGGCAGAGCAGAAATTAAAAATCCAGGTATGGGCTGGGTGTTACTCTCAAGTCTGTATTCCTTGCACTTTGTAGGGCCAAAGCAGGAGGATCACTTAAAGTCAAAAGTTCCAGACCAGCCTGGACAACATAGTGAGACTCTCATCTCTTTAAAAGAAAAAATAACTAAAATAAAAACAAAAAACCCAGGTGTGTTGACAACCAGATTGGTTCGACTGCCTCTTATCTAGACAACATGCCTGTTATCAGCTATGGAAACATGTTGTAGGCGGGAAAATGCCCTTACTCAAGAAAAGGACATATCAACTGCCAAAAGCAGGTATTTCTCCACTGTGGAGATTAATGCACTGAAATTTAAGAAGTTAGTGCTGTAAGACATTCACATCATTTAACTAAAACTTTCAGTTCTGGGACTGTCAGAGAGACTTAACATGGTCCCAGATCAGCAGCAGCCCCCCGCTCCTAGCAGAGGAGGAACACATCTCCAATTCAGGCTCTCAATATTCCCAAACATTAAGCTCAAGTAAATGTAAATTCACAGTTAGTAATCAGCAATCATAAGGAAACAACCATGGTTGCAGTTCAGAAGAAAGAACAAATGCTGATTTAGATGGTTCCCAAGGACTTTGGGTATTGAAACTGTCAGATATAAAATAGCTATGTATAAAATATTCAGAGAACAATGTTTAGAATTACAAAAAAAAAAAAAAAAGACAAAACAACACTATTAGATATTACTACCAGAGAGACATGAAAAGAATTAAGGCCAAGCTTGGTGGCTCACACCTGTAATCCCAGCACTTTGGGAGGCCAAGGTGAGAGGACTGTCTGAGCCCAAGGGTTCAAGACCAGCCTGGGTGACTTGGCGAGACCTCAGCTTTAAAATAAATCAAAAAAATTAGCTGGGTGTGGTGGCACATGCCTGTAGTTCTAGCTACTTAGAATGCTGAGGCGAAAGGATCACCTGAGCCCAGCAGGTCGAGGCTGCAGTGGCCGTGAGTGTGCCATTGTACTTAAGCCTGGGCAACAGAGTGAGACTACAAAAAAGAAAAGAATTAAATGGAACTTCCAGAAATGGTGGTATAAAAGCTTCACTCTACATGCATATACTAAGGGTGATCATATGTGGTAATCACTGGAAAGACTGGATCAGGAGGCCAGAAGAATGGTGTTTGTAAGTTCAAAGGGTAATTCTGTTCATGGTCAAAGTAATCAGAAATTTGTCCCTGACATGGATAAGAAAATATTTTCAGCCGGGCTCGGTGGCTCAGTCTGTAATCTCACGCTTTGGGAGGCTGAGGTGAGTGGATTGACTGAGCTCGTGGGTTTGAGACCCACCTGGGCAACTTGGCGAGACCTCATCTCTACAATAAATCAAAAAAATCAGCCGGGTATAGTAGCGCGTGCCGGTAATTCCAGCTACTCGGAAGGCTGAGATGGAAGGATCACCAGAGCGCAGCAGGTCGAGGCTGCAGTGGCCGGAAGCAGCCACTGCACTCCAGTCTGGGCGACAGAGTGAGACTCCAACTCAAAAAAAACCCCCAAAAATTTCTAAAAAGCCAAGGATCAGCTGGGTGCAGTGGTACAACACCTGTAATCCCAGCACATTGGGAGGCCGAGGTAGGAGGATTACTTGGGCCCAGGAGTTTGACACCAGCCTGGGTAACATAGCAAAACCTCATATCTACAAAAAAAAAAAAGAAAAAAGGAAAAGTTAGCTGGGCATGGTGGCATCTCCTGTAGTCCCAGCTACTCAGGTGGCTGAGGCAGAAGGATCGCCTGAGCTCAGGTGTTTGAGGCTGCAGTAAGCCATGATCATACCACTGCACTCCAGTCTGGGTGACAGAGTGAGATCCCAACTCAAAAAAAAAAAAAAAAAAAAGTCTAGGGTCATAGGAGAATTGGAAGGGTTATCTATGGTCCACTCCAGCTTCTGAGATTGCTGGGAGTCAGCAATCTGCCTTATTCACACTGAGTAAACAGCTAGTAGGCCCTCCAGTCAAACACTCTCACTTTTCACCTTTTCTATAATTTTGCAATTATACTATAGCCTCTTATCCTAGTTACAACAAGGGAATTTGTTTTTGCCACTCACAGTTTAGAACTTTTTTGAAAAAGAACAAGCTAGTAGATATAGTGACATTCAAATTTGTAACTTCTATTTTTTTATTCATGTTGCCTACTTTTGCTTACTTCTCACATTATCAAAAGCATGCTAGTCACCTCTGGAAAACATTGCAATCTCTGTTAAAATTACATTTATAATCCCAATAAACTAATTTTTAAAAATTTTACGGCACTAATATAAACTTACCCTTTATTGAGTATTAGATTCTCCTCTTCTGCTTCTGAAAGTGCAATCACCTTAGTGGGTGTCTGGGGCTCACGCAGAGAGTAAATTCTAGCAACCAGAACCGAAGAGAAGAAAACCAGTACTTAAAATTCTATTACACTTCCCAAAATTACACTTTCCTCTCCATCTAGTCAGTTTTTACTTGAGAGTTTTCCTACCTTATCACAACCATTTATTTGCAAAGATCTTGTTGTTATTAACAAAGTAGCCTATTTCATTTGTTCATTAACTACCTGAGAGGGAGATTTCTTTGGGACGTAAAGAAATGTTTTCTACCTTTACCCAAATTCTTTAACAGCCTACTCCATACCACTGCACCTCTGTCTCTTCCGTCCTGGGCCCTTAGCCATACTCACCTTGTCTAGTCACTTCACTATTGCCTCTAAGTTTGCCAGTTTCCCTTCAACTACACCCATCTGTCTATGCCTATGAGCCACTAAATCCCACCAGATAAAGGAACCACATCTTAGTCTTCTTTATTTACCAAATGGCTGGCAAAGTGAGTGACATTTACCCTGCAATTAATTTATGCTTTTGTACATAAAGACATAGGGCACAGTGGTTCATGTCTGTAATCCCAGCACTTTGGGAGGCAGAGGTGAGAGGACTGCCTGAGCCCAGGGGTTCAAGACCAGCCTGGGCAACTTGGTGAGACCTCATCTCCACAATAAATCAAAAAATTAGCTGGACATGGTGGCATTCACCTGTAGTTCCAGCTATTTGGAAGGATGAGGCAGAAGGATCACCTGAGCCCAACAGGCCAAGACTGCAGTAGCTATGAGCGTGCCACTGCACTCTAGCCTGCGAGACAGAGTGAGACTCCAACTCAAAAAAAAGACGCAATATCATGTCATCCCTAATTTCTCAAGGCGAAGTATAAAATTAGTTTTTACCTAAATCATATTAATTGAAAGTAACGTATGTTTCACAGCAAATACAGCTAATGCTAAAAGGGGAAAAAATTTTCCAAAGGCTGGTAATATCATTGTTAGAATGCCATTGTCTCTTATAAAGTCTTCACCAAATTAATCACTTTTTTTGTCTGACTCCCACTAAGAATTTTTAAACTCGGTTTGTTTCATTATTAGTATGTCACAAAAGCATTTAATAAATGTTTTTAATGATAATTTGACCCATCTGAATACACATTCACTATATTCTTCTTAGGTGCCTACAAGTATTACTGATTTCAAACACACATACTAGACAGTAATACTGTATTGGGGAATGCAGAAAGAAAAAATAAGTATAATAGGACATCCAGTGAAAATTTCCTTTTTCCTTAAATTGTCAACAGGGTACAAAGCTTAGGAAAAGAGAAGTGTTAAGTACTCTATTTTAAAAAGAACCTTCAATATTCTGGGCCAAGTAAAGTTTGTAATGGGAGGATTCTCCTTCTCTTCTTTCTTTACCCCCCATTCTAAAGTCAAATGGGTGGGAAAGGAAGACTCTAGGAGAAACACTCAGACAGATTTGGAGATATCTGTAATAAGGAAGATTGGTCCATTTCCTAGCTGAATTCCCATTAGTCACTTAGTAGCTGCCTTATCAGACTGAAAAAACAGTACTGTATACATAAGGTTCAGTACTAACTCCAGTTTCAGGCATCTACTGGGGGGGGGTCTTGGACTGTAAACTCTGCAGATAAGGGGAACTGCACCCCACCTTGAGAGAGGATTCAGGGCATAAAGAGCTGACAGAAACTAATGGGAGCCAGAGCTCATGAGTGATGGAAGGAACTGGAAGTTAAACACTGCCTGTAAAGCACACACAGACCATCTGCACAGAGATCACATCGGAGGTCACTAGCAACAGATGGAACTAGATTAGACCAAGATTAGGCATACCTCTCCATCACTCAATGGCAAACAGTTAGGTAAGATCTCTGCCTCACCTATCCACCCTCCCTACCCCAGCTCTGAAGAAGTTGAGTCAGAGGAAGGAGGAGGCAGGCCCACTCCTTACAGTTCAACCCAAAGTATCCCAAAATACTGGGATAAGAGAAAGAGTGAAAGAGGAGACCACGCCCTCTCCAATCATTTCAGATCCCTCAAGACACAAGTGTGACTTATGAAAGGGACAGGACATAAATTTAAAATAGATTTGAGATCAGAATTTTAAACTGGACTACACTAAGTTTTAAAAACTATAAGTAACCAGAAAGTTATGGAGAGCTGTATAAGATGCCATTAAGGAATCAGCTATTCAGCAGGGAAGATCTGGTAGAGTACAGTCAGAAGCAATGATTGGGAAAAATAAAACTGGTGATATCTATACCTCTGTTGAATCCTTCCAGTAAACTTTTTACATAAGGCAGATCCAGAAAGTTAACTGATAACATAGTAGAAATCTAAGTAGGATTGGGGAATTTAATAATAGAGTGCAAAGTTTGGAAGGGGCTTTAGAAATTATCAAATCAAACCTGCTCAGTTTATAGACTGGGAACTGAGGCACCCCCCCCCCCCCCCCCCCCCCCACAAAAAAAAGAAATTCAGATCTCAAAGGTAACAGAAGTGAAGCCGGGAAAAGAATTTAAATCTCTCAATTTCCACTACAATCTCTTTACCCTGTATTACATTATCACCAAAATACTGTTAGATCAAGAGTTTTGGAAAAATCTTCTTCTAACGGTATTTACTGGTCAAACTAGGAAAGCAGAGACTTGGAGGCAAGAAGACTAACTGAGAAGGAATAGCAGTAATTAAGGTATATGAGGCAATTCTTATGATTGAGAATGGGTTACAAAAGTTATCAAAAGCACTTCAACATTCAATGACTCATTTGGTGCAAAGCTATAAGAGAGACAAAAATAAAATTTACCTTATTACATTGTCTGATGTTAACAGCACTATGTGGGGATCCAGTATTTCACTTGGATACCATGCAGCATGCTTTAGAGTCAGAGAGGTAGAACTGGTGAAAAACCTCTCAGCAATTGGAGTGGTACTAAAATAAAGATAACAATTTTTTGAAACATTTTATAGAATTTGGATGAAAATCTTCTAAAGGAAAATCTATTTTAATGCTCTTTGCTTTTCTTTCCTTCAAATTTCTTTCCCTTACATCTTGCTAAGAGAGCATTCAAAGCATCTATTCAGTTAACATCAAAGAATCAAAATAAAAATATTTTCTAAATTATAGCATATTTTATACAGTATTTTATAAATGTTTTCAGTATAATACCTTATTTGATGGTTTTATAACTTTGTAAGGAAACTACAAGGGCAGATATTCCTATTTTTTTTTTTTTTTTGAGT